GAGTATGTGAGAAACTGTGTGTGTTAAAGAATGTGTGTGACAATGTCTGTGCAACAGAATGTGTGTGAGAAAGTGGATATGAGTGTGTGTGTTACAGAGTGCATGGGGCAGACTGTGAGTGTGTGAGAGACACTGTGTGAGAGTGTGTGTTTGTGAGAGAGTGTGTGTGTGTATAAGAAAGAATGTATATGTAAGATAATGTGGTGGGAGATTATGGCAGTGAGTGTGTGAGAAAGAATATGTGTTAGAGTGTGTGTACATATGTGTGTGTGAGATAGAATGAGAGTATGTGTGGGTGAGTGAGTGAGCAAGTTAGTGTGTAAAAGACTGTGTGACTGTTTTGAGAGACTGTGTGTGTGTGTATATGAGAGATAGAGTGAGAACGTGTGTTAGAAAGTGATGTATTGTGAGTGTGAGTGGGTGAGAGAAAGGATGTGTAAGAGAGAAAATGTGTGTGAGAGAGGGTGAGAACATGTGAAAGTGTATGTGTGTAAGAGTATGTCAGTGTGAGAGTATGTGAACAAGAGTGTGTGTAAGAGACAAATTTGAGTGTGTGTGAGAGAGACAGTGTGTGTGAGAGTAGGTGTGTGAAAAAAATATGTGTGTGTGTGAGATGGAATTTGTGACAGCTTCTGTGTGTTTGAGAGAGAGAAAGTGTCCTTGATGGGCTGAGCCAGCAGCCACACAGCCATCTCTGACCAAAGCAGAAGGAGGTGAGTGAGGCACAGATGTGACAAGTAATGTCCTGCACTGTTTTTCCTTCTTAGGGAATCACGATGACTCGGCCACCGAATGGGATCTGAAATGGCAAGGTCTTTGAACCCAGGATTCATTCCCTTATTGATGCATTCACTTCCACATTCATTTATTCATTCAATTGTATCATCATCCATTGTATATCAGATGCAAAAACTAGTTGAGCAGATCTGACCCACTGAGAATTCACAGGCTAGTGGAGGAGAGCAACGGTAGAATCAATTTATAGCTGTGTGGTAAGTGTTAAATATAGTTAGGAAAACATGCTACTGGAAGGAAGTCAATAACATCAAAGAAGTCAGGGAAATCTTGCTAAAGGAGTGAGATTTGAGATCATATTGGATGCCTAAACTGAGTGCAGCCAGCTGGGGGACACACATGGGGACAGGAACTCCTCCTGGCAAGTAAACAGTGTGGACAAAGGTTTGTAGGCAACCAAGAGCATCAGATGTCTGATCAATTGCAGTGGGCTTAATATGAAGCTGAGGGGCAGGGAGGAGGTTGGTGCAAGAAATAGGACTTGGAACATGGTCTGGTCCAGTCTTCAAAGGCTGTGTCATGAATGTGGTCCCTCAGACACTGTGCTGTTCAGTATGTTGGCCACAAGCCCAAATGGTGGCTTGCCTGAATAGAAACCTGCCATACATTGGATTTTGAAAACTTAGTATGAAAAAAAGAAAAAAAATTTAAGCAATCTCATAACTAATTTTATACTATGTGTTAAAATGATAATATTTAAGGTGCTATTGTTGTCAGTTATTGTCCAGTCAGCCCCCAATTCATAGTGACTCTATGTACAATGGAATCAGACCACTGGTATCCATAGAGTTTCATTGGCTGATTTTTGAAAGTAGATCTCCAGCCCTTTCTTCCTAGTCCATCTTAGTTTAGAAACTCCACTAAAACCTGTTCAGCATCATAGTAACAAATATGCCTCCACTGACAGACAGTTAGTGGCTGTGTATGACCTGTACTGTCTGGAATCAAATCCTGGTCTCCATGGAAGTGAAAATTCTATTACTGAACCACCATTGGGTTAAGTAAAATATCTTATTTAAAAATCTGTTTATTTTTACTTTTTTTTTTTTTAAATAATACCACTAGAAAATTGTGCCTTGTACATTACAGATGTGTCTTGCACATACACCTTTGATCAAGGTTTGGAGAGGATTGCAAGCAGAGCTGGATCTGGGAGTAATGAAGATGAGGAGTGAAGGTTACAGGTTGAAGCAGGAGGCCAGAAAATTGTCAAGGCTTGTCATTTCCCATTAGAGGAAAGAGAGTAATGAGGAGATGGTCAGGCCTGGTGGCTGATGAGGAAATTATGATAATATTCTTTTACTGAGCTACAGTTATGCCTAGGTTAAACCCTTATATAAATCAATCAGTGGTACAAATGGTTAATGGCTTAGCTGCTAACTGAGAGGCTGATAGTTCAAGTTCACCCAGAGACACCAGCCACTCCTTGGAAGGAAGACTAGGCGATCTACTTCCTTAGAGATATCACCTCAGAAACCCAAGGAGAGGACGCTATGAGTCAGAATCGACTTGAAGCCATGAGTTTTTTTTTTTGTTGTTGTTTTTTAGCTGGCCATTAGAAATGGACCTAGAGCCCTCTCCTCAGGAGAAAAGCCTGATACAAGAATTCCATTCATCTGAGGATGTGGAAACCCAAAAGGTATGTAGAGCATGGCTTGAGCTGAGATCATTATTTGACAAATAAGAAATTCATTGGCCACACAAGGTGGGGCCAATATTGACCTGTGCCCCTCTTCTGGAATAGACTGAAGTCTTTTCAACCATGGTAAACAGATGTTTTCAGCTCAGTTAGGTGGAGGAGAGATGTTTCACTGGTGGGTCTCTGAGTATGAGGTACACCCACACATTGTGTGCAGAGGGACTTTTCTCTGCAGTGTCTATTCTGACCACCACCCAGGAGGCCTTTCTGTGGGTCAGGGCTCTAGGCATCACTATGGCCTCTTCACATCACACCATCAGTAAGGCTGCACCCTTCCTGTCTCCAGGTCTTTCCACAGATCTGAAGTTTAGAATCCCTGGAACAATAGACAGGAAGAGCTGAAGGTGACCTTGATTATCCTTCCTGGAGTCAGGAGCTGGAGAGTTTATCAAAGCAGGACAAAGTACAGGCCAAGGCCCAGATCCCACTGACCTCTGTTCCTGCAAATAAAGTTTAAGGGGAAAAAAAAAACACACACATTTGTTCCCATATTGTCTATGGCTCCTTTAGCACTTTTGCTGTTAGCTGTTCCCAACTCATGATGACCCTATGCACAACGGGATAGGGCTGTTTTGATCTGAGGGCTTTTATTGGCTGGGTTTTGGAAGTAGATTGCCAGGCCTTTCTTCCTAATCAATCTTAGTCTGGAAGCACTGCTGAAACCCATTCAGCATCTGAGCCATCTACAAGCCTCCACTGACAGATGGGTGGTAGCTGGGCATGAAGTGCATTGGCACAGGAATTAGCCTGGATCTCCCACATGAAAGGTAAGAATTCTACCACTGAACCATAACTATCTCCAGGTGTAGCCTAGGAGTCTGCTAAATATCCCACAATGCACAACTGAGAATGATGCAGCCTCAAATCCCACTAATGGTGAGGGTGAAAAAACTGCCCTAGACCTATCACGTGGCACCTGTTCTCTTCCCTAGAGGCCCATTAAAGGTGTTTTCTATACAGGTTTACCTTGTAACTTCTGAGCAAAAATCACATGACAACAGAGAGTCCTATACTTGGGCAGAGGTTCATGGGTGGTGCAAATGGTTAACATACTCAGCTGCTAACCAAAAGGTTAGAAGTTGGAGTCCACCCAGAAATACCACAAAAGAAGAGCCTAGTAATCTAGTTCTGAAAATCAGCCATTGAAAACCTGATGGATCACAGTATGATCCTATCGTGCATAGGATTTCTGTGAGTCAGGTATGGTGTACAACCTTCTATGACATACATGGGGTCATTGTGAGGCAGGGTCTACTTGACACAGTGAGACAGGATACTTAGGCAAGTACATGCCTCCAAGGAGCTCATTTCAGCTCCTTGTCCCCTATGACTAAAAGAGTATGGGCTCACCTGAGCCCTCTCCATGAAGCCCTAGCCAAGAGACTAACCAATCCCTCAGGGCTATACCCTTAGGTTGGTTCATATGTAGCTGCCTCCTACCCCATTCTGACCTTTCACAGAATATTAATTGAATCCTCAGAATAAGATCAGAGCCAAGTCGGCCAAAACAATTTCCTGACCAGAAGAAATAGATGGTGGCTGACTACCACTACTGGCCACTTTGACAAAAAAACACAATAGAAGGTCCTCATTAGAATGGGGAAAAAAAAAAAAAAAAATATATATATATATATATGTGTGTGTGTGTGTGTGTGTGTGTGTATACACACACACACATATATATATGTATATATTTAGGAGCTCTGGTAGCATAGTGCCTAAGGCACTTGACTGCTCACCAGAAGGCTGGCGGTTCAAACCCACCAGCCACTCCTCGGAAGGAAGGTTGGGCAATCCTACTTCCGTAGTGATACTGCCTCGGAAACCCAAGGAGGGGTTGCTATGAGTCGGGGCCGACTCAACGGCAAATAACAACAACACACAACATATATATGTATACGGAAATTAAAATTTCAACAAAAAGCAATATGAAAGACCAGATTTACTGGTCTGAAAAGGACTAGGGAAACCCCTGAGACAACCTTCTAACTTGAAACTGAAGACACTCCTGGAGGTCACCTTTCAATCAAATAATAGACAGGACTAAAGGCAAATGGTAATACCTGTGAAGAGTGTTCTCCTTAAAATAGTCAACTGTACACGAGCAAAAGGGCAACATCTGTCCAAAACCAAGGATGAGTGAGAAGACAGGGTAGAACAGGGAAGCTGGACAAATGGAAATGGAGAGCCCAGGGAGAAAACAAGGAGATAGTGGACACACTGCAGGGATTACAACCAATGCCACAGAATAATTTCTGTATGACCTATTGATTGGAAAACCAATTTACTATGTAAACTTTCACCTAAAGCCCAATAAAATATTTCAACAAAAATTTCTCAAGGTATAAATCAGCTTTAATTCTCAATCCAACCCCTAAGGAGGTCTTCAGCAACATTACTGGGCCTGGAGCTCCAGACCCACTAAAGGGTGGTGGCTGACACCAACTTCCCCTCCCTCAACTCCGGATCTCTGGCTGCTGGCTTTTTTCTACATGCCCACACATGCTTAGTTCCAGGTAAGCTTGTTCTGGGACGCCTGGGACCCTGATGCAATAGGCTCCTTGTCTTCCCCCCTCTCTCTCTCCACCTGCTTGTCCATGCTCTGAGATCCCACAGCACAGTAGTACACAGCCTCATCCTCCCCCTGCAGCTCAGAGATGATCAGGTAACCTGTGTTCCTGGCCACATTTTTGGAGCCAGAGAAGCGAGGGGAGATCTTGGGGCCCTGCTTCTCATTTGAAGATGAGGAGAATCTCAGCAGGAACCTCGGTCCCTGGCCCGGCTTCTGCTGGTACCAGTAGATGCTGTAATTGCCCACGTCGTAGTCATTACTCAGGGTGCAGGCTAGGCTGACTGTGGTCCCCAGAGATGAAGACACTGACTGTGGCTGATGCAGCACTGGCTGAGGCCCACAACCTGAAACACAGAGGCATATGGGGACCTGGAAGCAGACAAAGCAAAGAAAGTGGCAGGAGGCAGCGATCTCAGTGGGGCTTTCTCACCTGTGCAGAGGGTGAGCAGCGTGAACAGGATGGGTGCCCAGGACATGGTGCAGAAGCACAGAGCTTGGCTTCCCAGATCACAGCTCCAGGACTCCAGCAAGATGGAGCAAACTACCCCATCCCACTCCAAGGGGTAGGGCTATGCACAACCCCAGCCTACCCTGTTCCTGATCATTGCCTTCCAGATCTTCCTTGGCTTGCAGTATCTCTCATGGGGTAGACGTTGTTTCTGGGAGGAAGCACCTGCTGTAAGCACTCAGGAAGTACTCAGGGCAGGAGGCAGATTTAGGCCCCTGGGGGTTGGAGTCATCTAAACTTCCACACTAAGCAAGCTGAGCCCCACAGACATAAATCCCTTGTCCACATTTACTGGCCTGTAAAGCGAGAAGGCAAGATGCCAAGCATCAGCTTCATGCAGCAGAAATCATTACAGCTCGTCCTGAGTATGATGCTAGGTCCCTAACTTGGTGAGGGTTCTTCAGAGAAACAAAACCAGTGAGATGCATGTGTGTGTATAAAAAACAAGACTAGTTACCACGGAGTCACATCTGACTCTGTCAGAGTACAACTGCTCCATAGGATTTTCCAGGCTGTGCCCTTACAAAAACAGATCACCAGGACTTTCTTCCCAGGTACATCTGGGTGGGATGGAACCACCACCTTTCAGTTAGCAGTCAAATGCTTAATCATTTATACCACCCAGTGACTCCATTATATATTCCATTACAAAAAGAACAAACAAACTCACTGCCATTGAGTCACATCTGAACCATAACGATGCCTCCTTGGGTTTCCAAGCAGTATCACTAAGGAAGTAGATTGCCTAACCTTCCTTCTGAGGAGTGGCTGGTGATTTTGAACTGCCAGCCTTCTAGTTAGCAGTCAAATGCCTTAGACACAATGCCAGCAGAGCTCCTAATATAATATATTCATATAAATGTATATATATATATATATGTGTGTGTGTGTGTGTGTGTGTGTGTGTGTATAGAAAGAGAGAGAGAGAGAGAGTTACTTCAAGAAATTAGCTCATGTGAGTCTTTTGGGAAGGTAGGGGACTGGTGAGTCTAAAATCAGTAGGTCAGGAGGCAGATCAGAGACTTTTTCAGAACTGCAAGATCTGTAGGTCAGGCAAGGACAAGACTGCAGAGTGGAGAGAGAGTGAATTCTACCAAAATATGGTCTAAAGGCAAAGCACACCCTAAGGAACTCCCCTTTCAATGGTTTAATTGATTGTATTGCATTACATTATGGAAAGTCATTACATTGCATTGCTTTAGATTACAATGTGCAAAAGCAACTAGTCTAGTGTTTGGCCCAACCCCTGTGAACCATAGCCAGGCAAAGATGACACATAAACTTCATTATCATAGTCCCTTTCACACTTCAATTCCTTTCCATTCTAGTATGAAGGGGCCCTTCTGGGACCCAGGGTAGTTGGGGGAAGATAAAGAGTAGCCTTTTCTTTCTGGCTGTGCCCACTTGTTCACTCCTCTTCATAGTGGTCCTCAGGGAGCTATGTGGCAGAGCTGTGAGCCCTCAGTCTAGTTCCTGCACCTGCAGAAGCCCTACTGCACCATTTGACCTGCTGGAGGCCACAGTTTCTGAGAGGCCCAGGGTCTACTTGGTGCAGATGTTTGGACAGGGATTTCTGCATCCCTTCCCTCTTCACCACATTCTAGAGCATTTTCAGTAAGCACAACCAAACAGGATGGCCAGTGGGCAGAGGGGACCTCAGCTCCCAGTGGGGCTCAGAAGTAAGACCTTTCTCTGGAGGGAGATATGGAGGGATCACTTCAGAGAATAGGTCTTTTGTGACTCTGGTCCTACTCAGGAGGTGTGAGGGGAGCAGCCACTTTGATGAGAACACATCTTTATTCTAGATCATCCACACCTGCAACAATTTCCAGGATCAACCAACCAATTGTCATTAAGTTGGCTCTGATTCATGGCCACCCCATCGAGAGTAGAACTACTCCATATAGTTCTCATGACTGTGACTTTTCAGAAGCAAATCTCCAGACCTTTCTTCCAAGGTGTCTCAAGGTGGATTTGAACCACCAACCTTTCAGTTAGTAGGTTAGTAGTTGAATGTTGAACTATTTGGACGGCCTCTAAAAAAAAAAAAAAAAGCCTACTGCTATCTAGTCAATTCTGACTCATAGTGACCCCCATTGGGTTTCCAAGGTAGTAAATCATTACAGAGGTAAATTGCCCCATCTTCCTTCCATGGAGTAGCTGTTGGGTTGGAACTCCAGCCTTCTAGTTAGCAGTCAAATACTTTAAGCACTGTGCCACCAGGGATCCTTTTGGACTGCCTAGAGACTTCTAATTTCCAGGCAGAGGCTGGAAAATCCCCAGCTGTGACTCAGTTTCCCCAGAAAGCCATCGGATTGCCAGTCAGCTTCACCTGGATCTGTGCTGATGGTCCTTTGAATGACATTGGGAACCCACTTAGCACCCATTTCAGTGGAAAGAAATCCTCTCCCAGACCAGGAAGAGGTGAGAAGGAGGGGCTTCCCATGGCCACTCACCCACCTGCATCCCACAATCATAGAGGGAACATCCTTAGATTTGGAAGGAAGATTTCTTCCCAGGGTGCATGTGGACCACCACGACCACAGGGTCTCCCTGTCCCGGGCTCCCAGCAAATTGCCACTTCTTTTCCTGGAGCTGAAGCAATGACCAGCATGATGCCATTTTCATTTTCCTAACTGAGGTGCAAAAGCACAGAATGTACCCAGTACACTGTCCTCCTCACTTTCCAGGATACTAGACAGGCATGCTTTTCCCTACCATGATCATTCTTTATTTGGACCTCATTCTTATGTCTCCCCAAAGACACATAGAAAGCAAAAAGAAAAAGGATTGATTCCAAGATGGCAGAATAGGCAGAAAGTCTGCACAGACACTCTTCAACAAAGAAAAGGGAAACCAATTAACACAGACACAGAAGATAATCCTAGACACTTGAGACTTGAAGGGAAGGATATAGAAGTGGACTAAACCCCAACTAGCAGAAGAATTTGTATGAAAATACCAAAAAAAGGAAACAAACGGACCTGTGGTCTAGCAACAATCCTGAGGGATCCTGATGGCAAAGACGGCTTGGAGATTCCTGAGTGGTGGTAGGACCTAAGAATTAACCTAAAAATCAGCCCTGCGAGCCAGGAACTGCATGGAGGACTGCTATGGTGGCTGTGGAGTACAAGGGAAAACAGTAGTGAAGAGGAGGATGGGATGAGCTGTGGACTTTGTCAGTCTAGAGGGCTCCACCGTTTTGAATGTTTACAAGCAGCTTCACCATTTAGGATATTTAAAAAGACAGCATTCCATCAGATTCCAGGGGCTTAAGCAGAGGTTCTGCTTTCCAGTAACCCCAAGGACAATCGGGATGTACATGACTGAAAAGGTCCTAGTTTATACCTTTTTTTTTCTTTTCTCTGTTCCTGGTTCTTTTTTTTTTTTTTTTTTTTAATTTAAATTGTTCTTTACCCCCTTTTTTTTCTCATGGTTAACACCATTCCTTTCTTTTTTTTCTTCATTTTTCCCATGATTTTCTTCTTTATTCTCCTTCTCTACCTTTTTTCTCTTAGTGCCCTATCCCCAGATATTGCAGGTTTTCTTGTTTTTTTCTTCTTTTCTTCCTTTTGTTGGGGGATTATGGCTCCTTGTGATTACATGGTATATTTTTTGTCCATGTGCTTTTAGTATTTTGATGGTTATTCAATTGTAATTTTTGTCTAACTGAGTGAGAGACAGCAACAGTCCCCATAAGATACAAGTACACCCACACCTACTGCAACTTCACTTACTGGGCAAGAGCCACCACCTCCTTCTCCACCAATGGGCCAACAATAAAAAAACCACCAAGAGGAGCCTGAATCACACCTGGCTGCTCTTTACAAACAATTAACAGAGATCTTAATACAATCCACAGTGTCTTCTAGACAACAGACCTATCACAGTCCACACAAAGAAGCAAGATAAAGTGGTAGAAACAAGGGAACAGGATATAGACCTAGAACACATCCCTGAGGAAGAAGCAGCATTGGAACTC